CCCTGGCCAGGCAGCGCGGCTCCGGCTCCGGCTCCAATCCCTGCCTGCGGCCGTCGGCCCAGTTCCGGGTTGGGCCTATTCTCCACTGGGCAGCGGGGGGAGACTGTCCCTGACACGAGTTCCTCTACCAGCAGGAGCAGCAGTCCCGATTCAACCCCCCCGCCCATCCCTGCAGCGTGGTACGCGCCACTCTGGCACAGGATCTGGACATTGCACCTGCTGGGAAGGACCTCGTCCGGGGACACCGCACAGAGGGGGGACCAGCACCCTCTCCCAGAGCGCTGCATCTCTGTGAGGGGGCTGGAGAACTTTCCCAGGGCCTGGTCCAAGGGAGGGGATTGGCCACAGAGCCGAAAGCCCATCACCTGTCAGAAAAAAAGCATGCAGACTAAATTATGGATATTTGACTTTGTTTAAATGTTATTTATATAAACCTGATGAGAGTAGGTTTGTACCTCTGTATCTACCTGTGTGAAATAGGTGGAGACTGTGCTAAGAATTTGTCCTGGGACCAGTGAAATGTTATTTGGACCTGCTGGGGAAACTCAGCATTGAAGAATTTGGGAAAGAACCCAAAACCAACACTAACTTTCAGTACTAGCTCTGCAGCTAAATTTTCCCAGACATGAATGACTGGCTGGAAAGAAACTGCAGAGTGAGTAAGTAGTGTTAGGGGGTACACTGTTTTCTTTGTTCCAATACAGTTTTTTGTTAAATATTAAAAGGAAAACATTGTTTCTGTGATCGTTCTGCCATTAAACCATGGCATGACATCACAGCACTTGATTCCCTTTCTTTTTTGAACAATCAGGCTGGTATATACGTTTGTGCTACTGTACATGAACCACCTCTCAGGGAGCAGCAAGCCATGTGTGTTATGTAGTGTATTTCTTGGCTAGGCTCCTGTATAATTTTCTCAGTTGACAATCTGCAGACTCACGAGGTTGCACCTGAATTTTTTCCAGTCCTCACCTCAGCCTAGTCATCCATACAGGATAATGTTTTTCAGTTACCACAGCAATATTATTTTCAAAAGAAAACAAAAGTTGCTGAAGATGACCTGTTCTACTGTACAGCCATTTTAAGGAAGCCATTTTAATAGCAACCTGTTTCAATAATAGAAAACAATGCAAGAAACTTGTCTATTATGACTAGAGATCATTCACAGTGCATTTTCCTCAGCTGTTTACAACAGCATCCATTTGGTACAAAATTGTTTAAATGTTTTTTATGTTCTGGTTAAAATATTAATTACAACATACCCTGCAGTAAGCAACCCAACATATCCTAAGTTGCATGTCACAGACATTATTTGTGAGTTCTGTGTCTGTCTATATCAAAAAGTTTTTGGAAAAGCAGACGCACTCTTACACCATCCCTGTAAACCTCATTCTAGGAGGCATAATGGATGTGTTGAAAGAGAATTTTTTTCTGAAATTTGGCACCATGTAGATGTGCCAAATTTTGGAAAAGCCTCTTTTGAAAGAACATCAGAAAAAGATACGCAATTTGCATACTGCAAATTGTGTATCTTTTTCCTATTTAACTCTGCAGTCTACATGTAGTCCAAGTTTCTATGATGCCTATTATATTAATAGCCTCATTCAATACAGGGCACTTTAGGAGCATGTCTACACTGCAGGGCTTAACTCGAAATAAGCTGCGCAATTTGAGCTACATCAATTGTGTAGCTTATTTCAAAATAGTTTATTTCGAGTTTTGGTGTTGGCTACACAGCACTTATTTCAAAATAGAGCACTCTTCCTCCAACTTCTCTTACTCCTCATAAAGTGAGGGTTACAGGAGTAGGAACAAGAAGTCCTCCAGCTTGACAGTATTTCTACATTATGTCAAATAACTTCCGGCTGTGTAGATGCAGGCTGTAATTTCAAAATAACATTAGTTATTTCAGAATAATGTTGCTATGTAGACATAGCCTAGTTCATCCATATTATTATTTAGACTTCTAGCATTTGTATATAAGCACTTAAAAATGTATCACTTTGACCTTGACTTGTAGCTACATGACCTCTCTCTATCCTTCCCTATCTCATTGGTACCTACATGCACCATGACCACTGGCTCCTCCCTAGCACTATACATAAGTTTATCTAGATATCTCCAGAGATCTGCAACCCTCACCCCAGGCATTTAAGTTACCATCCAGTTCTCCAGGTCATTGCAAACTCAGCTGTCTGTTTCTAATTATTGAATCCCTGATTACTAACACCTATCTTTTCCTAATAATTGGAGTACCCTTCCCTGGAGAGATATCCTCAGTATGAAAGGATACCATGACATCATCTGGAAGGAAGATCCCAACTGTGGGATAATTTCCCTCTGCTCCAGTTGCTTGTTCTCCTTTCCTGAAACTTTCACTCTCCTCAGTAGCACAGAGAGGGTACGTCTAAACTACATGGCTCCATCGACGGAGCCGTGTAGATTTGTTGTTTTGGCAAAGTCAAATGAAGCCGCGATTTAAATGATCGCGGCTTTATTTACATTTACATGACTGCCGCTCTGAGCCGACAAACAGCTGATCAGCTGTTTGTCCGCTCCGCGCGCTAGTCTGGACGCTCCCCTGCCGACATCAAAGCCCTTTGTCGGCAGCCTGGGTAATCCTCATCCCACGAGGAATAACGGGGCTGCCGACAAAGGGCTTTGATGTCGGCAGGGGAGCGTCCCGACTCGAGCGGAATAACGGGGCTGCCGACAAAGGGCTTTGATGTCAGCAGGGGAGCGTCCAGACTAGCACGCTGAACGGACAAACAGCTGATCAGCTGTTTGTCGGCTCAGCGCGGCAGCCATGTAAATTTAAATGAAGCCGTGATCATTTAAATCGCGGCTTCATTTGACTTTGCCTATGTGTCTAATCTAGATGCCTCTGACGACAGAGTCATGTAGTCTAGACACAGCCAGACTGTCTGACCAGAGATGGGATTACTGTACAGTGTCCTAAAAAGTCTCATCCATATACCTCTTGTTTGTCGGCTCAGCGCGGCAGCCATGTAAATTTAAATGAAGCCGTGATCATTTAAATCGCGGCTTCATTTGACTTTGCCTATGTGTCTAATCTAGATGCCTCTGACGACAGAGTCATGTAGTCTAGACACAGCCAGACTGTCTGACCAGAGATGGGATTACTGTACAGTGTCCTAAAAAGTCTCATCCATATACCTCTCTGCCTCCCTCAGTTCTTCCAGCTCTGCCACCCTGGTCTCCAAAGCTTGTATACAGTCCCCATAGGATAGGTAATCATGCATGCTACATTGGGTGCAATAAATAGGATAACCCCCACTCCGGTGATGGTTTCTCCCTGCATTCTCTTTTTTTCTCTTAGGATGTGTCGAAGCAAAAACACGCTCCTCTCTGTTTAGGCGGCTAACAACTGATTTCCTTTATTGATCAGTAAAGCAAAGTGAGCCAAATGTGGTCCCAGCAAAGTCGGGCCCAGTAAAGCTGCTAATACAATCAATCCTAGTATCTTTATACCCTTAG